CTTTAAAAGCAGGAAAGCCTGTAACTTTCCTCTCTAGCAGAAGCAGTCTTGTCACATCTGCTCAGAACAGAGTTTCTCCCAGTGAAAGCAGGCGTTGGTGTCGTGTTTACTGCATGACAGTGCACGGAAAACCTAGGGGTGAGGGTACAACTAAGAAAATGGTGCAAATTGCTCGAATTGCAGCACGCTGGCAAGACAAGGGGCAGCCTCTCTTTCCCAGGAGCTATGAGGCGCCCAAGGTCACTCCATGCTGCCCTTCACTCCTGTGAGACATCACCCGTAACTACTGCTCTGGGCAGGATGAGGAGCTCCCACCGCTTGATGTGGCCAAACACAGACCTTCCCTTTCAGAGCTCAAGTCACGGAGATAAAAAGCATCTGTAAGGGCTCAAAAGCCAAGGCCAGCAGTGCTTCGGTTCCTGTGAGTGCTCGGCGACAGGTACTGAGCAGCCTTCTTACTTGCTTGAATAGTGCATCTCTTCTAAAAGAGATCTAAAATTGGGGCTTACAGTATTTAAGGCTAGTATTACTTCTATAAAATCAAGCATAGCACGAGAAGACCTACTTTCACACTCTTCCGCTATCTTCTGTGGTTTTAGAGAGGAAAAAAATACTAAGTTTACTAAATTGTAAGACTTTGGGCTTGTAAAAAAACGCATTTGCAGTGGAGGGAGAGAGCAGTTCCTCTTGCTTGAGGATCAGGCCGAGGGTAACCCCTAGTGGCTGCAGGCTTTCTGTACAGCAGCCCAAACTTCCCTGACGTTGCAGGGAGGACAGCTGCTGTAACACGAGTCTGCGGCGCTTCTGCAAGCTCAGCACGGCCTCTTCTCCACGCTGCATCGTGCTAGAGCACTGCTTTGCTCTCAGAGACACGTAAGGTGGCACAGAACACCCCGTGGTGGGTATGAGGTACCTAAACTGAGCTTTTTAGTAGAATTTCTCTGGAAACTCTATACAGAGCCTTTTCTATTGCACTGGTTATTGCCTGTGGGGTTTCCAAGGATATATTGCTTGCAGAATATCTTGGTATCTTCTAACTGTACCAATAAAAATTACAGAAACTTGCAGGAACTCAGCTAAGAAAACACAACTGTTGATGATCAGAAGTCACACTTGTTTTTTAATCGCAGATTGGGCCAGAGCAAAAGATCTTCTCATGGGCCTTCCACGAGGAAGGCTGCTTAGAACCCCAGTTCTGAATCCACTGATCTAAACCTTGCCATCGTGGTGGAAACCTCGCAAGATCTGACGAAGTGTTCAGGAGCTGTCTGATCACTGCTCTGGGCTTCATTCTACAGAAAGGTTCCCAGGAGAGGACATGTTCACGAGGGTTTATTTCCCACATTACCCGTGTCCCTTGCTATGGGTCTGCATGACAGCAACACTCTGTGCTTTGCTGAAGGATAAAGTCGGTAGCCTTCACAGTCAAACACCTTTTAATACAATCCAAGATACAGAGTGACAAAAACAGTATCAGTGCAGGGCAGCACAGCACCACGCCACTACTCATCTGAAGAACATCATCACTCCAAATAATCTGCACATTCATATTGACTATGAATAGTTTAGTGCAAAACTCATCACAAAGACACGCTGGCAAAGAGACATCCCTCGGGTCCCGGTCCTGGTGCCGGTGCCGGCCCCGGTTCCCGCTCCGGCCGCAGGCAGCGGGAACTCCTATCCCATTGAAAACACGGCGGGGTTTGACGGACGGGGCGCACAGCTTCAGCGCACGCACGCAGAACTGCAGGAGACTGATACGCGGTCACGGCCAAACACACTTCCACTGCCGTTAACTCCAACTCTCACCCCCAATTTGCCTTCTCTTTTCTCCACAGAGAGAAAATAAAGGTTCTCCCTCCCTCTCCATTTAACCTATTTAATCAGAAAAGGTGATGCTTTAAGGTGCATGATTTGCAGGAATAACAGCTTTTAGGTCTAGTGAGAAATCTGGCCATTTTGGCTAAGAGTTAGAAATAGTTCCTGTGGCCTGGAGATATTTTAATTGCCATTTAAAATAAATTCTGATTTCTGATGCCAAGAGATTCAATCCTTTTCTGCCTTCCTTGATTGTCCAAGGGAATATTACAAACCAAATATTATAGCAAATATGCAAATACAGGTGATACGCAGCGCTTAGCTCTTTGGCTTTATGCTATTCCAATGCACAGTCGTTCTGAACAGCAGGGCTGCAGAGGGGAGGGAGGGTCCATGCAGGCTTGTTCGGAGTTGTAATGCCATCACAGTCCTTCACAGGTGGGGTGTTTCCTGTAATTTCCACTTTCTGATAGAATGCACATTGTACCTGTCTTAAAAACCATTCTGGTATCTCATTTGGAAGAGTTCTGCATGTAGCACAGAAACCGTTGGCTTGATACATGAACTTTGATATATAACTGGTTAACAACTTTAACTACACGGACAAAAAATGCCTCTTTTGCTACTGGAAAGGAAATCAAGTCACAATGCTGCTCCTCTACACCGTCTCAATACCACGACGAGAATTACTCATGAAGATTTGCACATGAAAAGGAGCGCTCATTTACACCGGGCACAGGAACTCATGAGGATGACACAGCTTTGTGTAATTCCTCTTGCCAAACTACTGCAGCTTCTTGGGTATTTAGGCTATTCAGACTAAGAACATCCAAACTACACCAGTCTTGCAGAAGGATAGTGCTACAGCGAACGAAAACTGCTGCTACAAGATACACCTCTTAATACTGATATTGTATTGTCAGTAGAAGGAGGATCACCTATTTCCCCATTTGACTGTTGAAATAGCGTCCAGCCCTGCAGTGATTTAAAAAACTCATATAGGTCATAGCTCAAATTGTTCCGGGGGAAGATGTTTGCTCCAGGTACCCTCCCTTGCAACTGCAAATGCCCAGAGAGAGACCAACTGCTAGACACTACCAACCACCAAGTGTGATATGTTCCTTCAAGAATCAAAAAAGGAGATTTACCCTTCGTCCTGTGCAAAAGGCCTGCGCGTGACCACTGAGATAGGCAGCTCACAGAGCTTCCTTGGGCTTCTTCACTGCCAGAGTGCTCAGAAGCTGCATTCACCTGACAACAGCGTCTGGGCAAAGGCCTGTGACTGACTTTTCAAAGAGGCCCTAGAGACACAGATGTATCTCACTGATCTCCTTCAATTCTCAGGCTAACACCTCATGATGGATTTGTGACCAACTCTGACTGATTTCTGAGCTCAAATATCCAATTTTCTGTCTAGTATGAACAGAAAGGAACAGTATTTTTTCAGGTATGCTTAAGAAATGGTGCAAGTATTCAAGTTGTCCTGATGTAATTGCACACGGTAGGGATGGGGACAGAGAAACCACAACACCCCTGCCAGCTGCAGAAAGATTTTGCAGATAAAAGCAATTAATTGCATATGAGTAATACTAAAGTCTCACAAATCCTGCTAACACCCAGCTCTAGGAAATCTGACAGCAAACTGAAAGTTAATGCTGGTTTTTTATTTCTTCCCTCTCTCCTTGCCTTTTTTTTTTTTTTTGGTAAGGTAACTTAAAAACAGTCTCCAAAGAGAGGAGATATGAAAAAAAACTTTACATTAGAGATCCCATTACATTTAAGAGATAAATGGGATACATTTTGCATGATTCTGTCTGAGCAAGCTCATAGGATGCTAGCACGTATCAGTAGTGACACAGCTAGCTTGGAAAAGGGTAGTAGAAGGCAGCATCATGCAGGGCGCTTGCGGAAACAAGATATGACT